AGTATTTATAGATCTGAATTCTTCAATTCTATCACCAAAAGCGATAATTTCAGTTGGACACACAAATGTGAAATCAAGTGGGTAGAAGAAAAAGACCAGGTATTTCCCACGATAATCAGTTAACTTGAGCTCCTTAAATTCTCCATTTATCACAGCTGTGCCTTCCCAGTAAGGTGCTGGCTTGGAAATCTTGGCTTTGCTGAGGTGGAGGGAGTGGTTTGCGACCGATACTCGAGAGGGCTCCCCAGGGTACACTTGTCCGCCAGCAAAGAAGTGGCACTTTTCTAGTTGGGTCCGGGGCTTCTCCTCAGACTCCAAGCCTTGCAAAACTCCTGTAGGCAGTAGGAGTAGCAGTAGCGGTAGTAGAAACTTGCGGCTCCGGCCCAAGGCTTCCGCCGCTAACAACTGTAGTTGAGTCGCCTCCATGACTTATGAGTGGAGGCACACGTCCCTAAGCTTGAGCGCGACTCCTTCTGCCGCCAAAAAGGAACAACCGCGCGCGCACGACACCGCGTCGGCCGCCAAGGTAGGGCGCGACCTTGCGAGACCTGCTCCGCCCCCGCCCCGCCCCGCCCCACCCAGCTTCGCCACGTGGACAGCAGCCCCACCCCTTTACGCCCCCAAGCTTGAATTTGCGCCTGCGCCTTGCTGCGACAAGGCCAGTGTAAGTGCCGCTCCACTGTTTTTCCGTCTTCTGCACTGTTGTAGGCTCTGCTATCCTTTATAGAACCTTCACACCTAACCTCTGCACACCATCTCCCCAGAAATCAGAAGCTAACGTTTCTGTCTCTCAACCGGCTTGAATTTCGCTTTTGGGAACTCCTCTCTCACCTCCTCTCTACCCTCCTCCCCTTCCCTCTCCTTTGGATTTTCTTTTCTTTAAATTACATTTTGGCATTTTGTATCCTGATTTGAATTTCAACATTATAACAAAAAGAAAAGTGTTTATTTTTAATGGTTCCCTCTTAGTATTTGAACCCACTACCACTGAATAAATGCCAACTCACAGTCACCCATAACGAGAGTAGAGAAGAAGTAGAGTAGAAGCCCCATAGGACTTCTATGTTTCTCATGAAATGGTGGTGCGTTTAAACTAACAACTTTGTGGTGAGTAGCCAAGTGCTTTAGCCACTGAGATACTATGGCTCAAAAAGGAAGAATTTTAAAAGCAAGCTTTTTCATAGTTATAAAACCCCAAAACACCACAACAAAAAACCAACAAGATAAAAAGGAAGCTTTCTGGTTACCTTGTCAGCAGGGGTCAATTTGGTCCAAGGTTTGTCAGCTCGCCTGTCATAATCTTGAGCATCTGTTACTTCCACATACTCATTAAACCTCAGAATCTTCCTGGCCAGTAGTTCAGCCACAGTTGGTCTTTCACTGAGCTGAAAGAAATGGAGCTTCTTAGTGCGCTGTATCAGGCAGCACTTACACATTCAAATTACCTCTAACCCAATGCTCCAGCCTTCACTGCACACTGATGTCACCTGGAGAGTTTTAACTAACACTGATGCCTGGATCCTAATTCCGGAGATGTTGCTATAACAATTCTGGACATTGCAGGTTTTAAAAATCTCATTTAAAATCTCATAGTTTTTAAACCTCATTTTAAAGCTCCTTGTTGTTATTTGTTAAGTGCTGTCCAGTACGACTCATAGTAACCCCATGAAAAATAGATCTGAACTCTGTCCTATCCTGTGCCATCCTTAACTATCCTCAACACCTTTGAATCCATCAGTACAGACACTGTACCAATCCGTCTCATTGAGGGTCCTGTTCTCCTTTGCTGACCCTCCATCTTTTCAAGCATGATGTTCTTTTCCAAGAAAGAGCTTCTCCTAACAACATGTCCAAAACATGAGAAGAAGCTTCAACTTGGGCCTCCAAAGAACACTCCAATATGTATCTGTCTGTTCTTTTGACAGTCCAGCATTCTTCTCTACCACTCTCCAGCCCACAAATGCATAGCAGGTGACTGGAAAGCCTGGCTTGAATGGGCCATTAGACTGACATCACTGCTTTTCAGGACTTTGGAGAGATCCCTGACAGATTTTCCCAAAGCTATACGTCTGCTGTTCTCCTGACTGCTGGTACCAAGGGTGTTTACGTGGATCCAAGCTCCAAGCAAGATGAAATGAAATGGTTGACACTTTCAACGTGTTGGTCCAGTGGCAAGGATTTTGGTGTTTTTTTGTTTGGTTTTTTTTTAATTTTTTTTTTTAAATATGAGATGCAATAAATATTGAAGGATGCAGTTAGTCCTTGATCCTCTGCAGCAAGCATTTCAGGTCTTCCTCACTTTCAGCAAGCAAGGGTATGTCATCTGCCTAATGCAGGTTATTAATGATCCTTTCTCCAATGTTGATGCCCACCTTCTTCATAAAGTCTAGCTTCTTGAATGATTTGCTCAGCATACTTTAGTCTGCTTGGCTCCACGGTCAACACTCTTGGCACCAGTAGCCAGGAAATAAAAAAAATGTATTGCGATGGGCAAGTCTGCTGTTAGGGACCTCTCCAAAGTACTGAAGAGCAATGGTGTCTCTCTGGAGACTAAGGTGCATCTGATACAGGCCATGGTCTTTACTATCACTTGTTATGCATCAGAGAGTTGGACAATGACTAGGAAGGATAGAAGGAGAATTGATGTCTTTGAGCTGTGGTGCCGAAGAAGAGTACTGAGGGTACCATCGACTGCTAGGAAAAGAAATAGATTCATCCTGAGAGCGTTAAACCAGGCGGCTCCTTGGAGGCAAGGATTCTAAGGCTTCGTCTAACAGACGAAGCATGTTGTAAGGAGGGACAGGTCCTCAGAGAGGGACATTATGCTTGGGAGGGTGGAGGGATGGAGTAGGAGAGGAAGGCCTTTTATGAGGTGGGTTGATTCAGTGACTGGGGTAATTGGGATGGGTGTGTCAGAGGCAATGAGATTGGCACAGGATAGAGCAGGGTTTAGGGCTGTTGTACATAGGGTTGCTATGAGTCGCAAACGACTGGAAGGCACATAACAACAACAACAACAGATTGAATAGGTTCAGAGAGAGGACACAGCCCTGATGCACACCCTTCCCAATTTTAAATGATCCGATTCCGTAATTCTTTGCTATGTCCCAACAATAGCCTCTTAGTCTAGGTATAGATTTTGTGTAAGTCCAATTAAGTGTTTTTAAAAACCTCATTGTTAAAAAAAACCAAAAAACTAAACTAAACAAAAAAAACAAAAAAAACCCTCATTGTTGTTGTTGATTGCCTTTGAGTCAAGCACGACCCACAGTGATCCTATGAACAAAACGCCTAAAAGCCTTTCTATAACTATCGACATTTATCAAAATTTATAGAGCTTCTGGAGGCATGTTGTTTAGGAAGTAGATGCCACAATTAGTACAGTTACAATTGAGAACCATTGTTGTAATGTTTCTATAAACTTAACATGTATTATTAAATATTGCTAAAATGTAGATTCTGATTAGTGATTCTGGGATGTGGATTCTGTCTGTATCACATTTTGGGTAGTAGCAGTTAGGGCTTTAATATTATAATCTAGTATAATATAAAAGGGACAAAAAAATGAATGCATTTGAAAGGAAAGCAACATGTGGCTAATATGAAGGGCAAGCCTGTCAACATGAAAAATGTTCAAGATTGCATATCCTGTAAAAATAATGATTACAGGCTGCACAATTGAGACAATCTGAAGGCGTTAAATACACCCAGGGCTTATAAATATTTACTCTGTCTTAGGGAAGGAAGAAGGATGAGAAATGAGGTAGAGAATACTTAGACCCAACTCTCCTAGGGATTTTAATTAGTTCTAAGAAATCTAGACCAAATCATAATCTATAGTAGACAATCACAACCTATTATAGTAGGAAGAAAAGGAGCAAAAGATTAACTTGAGGGCTTAAAAACTAACACAGGTCTGGAATAGAAAGGATTCTTTCAACGTGATTCAGATCATGAAGAAATCATGGTAAATTTTTCGGGGGCTATTTCTTAAGTACTACTGAAAGTCAGCATATATTACTTTTTTTAATTCAATCTATGCTGAGCAAATAATTAATGAAGCTGGATTCTAGATGAGAGAAGAATTGATGTCTTTAAGTCGTGGTGTTAGAGAAGAGTACTGAATATCCCATGGACTGCCAAAAGAAGGAACAGGGATGTCTTGGAAAGGGTGCAGCTGAAGTGCTCCGTGAAGGCAAGGATGGTAAACTTTGTCTCACTGTTTGGACATATTGTTGGGGGACGCTATTATTCCTTGCAAAAGCATATCATACTTGGGAGGGTGGAGAGTCAGCAAAAGAGAGGAAGACCTCTCGGACTGCAGCAGTGTATCAGTGATGATGAGAATGGCACAAGGTTGATGAGGTTAGGACAAGGTTCACATCTGCTATTTATAGGGTCATTCATTATAAGCTGTACTTGAATTGACGGTAACTAACAACAATAAGACCAAGAACAAAAACTGAAAATCCACTTTTGTGAATTCTTCCTCTGATTAAAGAATAACCATTTCGCTTTGCAAACGCTACATACTCTTCCTATTACTGCCCACATTAAAGCAGGATATAGCTACCACCTTCTTAAAAAATGTAGGTCTACCAAAGGAAAGCAAAAAATGTCTTTACTCAAATATGTGCTAAGTACCTCCTTTTGCCAAGTCTTCTTTAGACAATGAAAAGGATAAAACAACCAACCAACATATTTGTTATTGATAATGTGTTGTTTCTTGTATCCTCTTGAAGTTCTCATAGCAATCCATGGCACTTCAAGTCACACTATTTTTCCTCTCAGTCTAATAGGTCATCTAAATACATAATAGATAGAAACAAAAGTCCACATACATATGCCTTTCTAGGTACCTTTCTAGTGAGTCGGCGTTTAATCTCTCGTTTTTCTGCTTGACGATCGGCTTCATTTTTAGCTATAGTTTAGAGTCAGAAACAAAAATTATTACTTCAACATAAATCTATGCATATCGAACTTTTTAGTGACTACAATGAAGATACATCTTACAGGCTCCAAATCAGAATACAAGATTAAGTATGAGGATGGTTAATGAAGACAATTTTCTTGCCAATTAGTAAAGTCAAACAGGGTCAACAAACTGTTGTGCCAAATTTGGGTCAGCTGCTTGTGTCTGAACCACTCATAAGCTAAGACTCATCTTTACAGTTTGAAGTGGCTTTGTAAGTATTTACGTATTTTATGTCTTGGCCTATAAAGTGGAAAATATTTACTATTTGCTTTTTAAGAAAAAGTCTGCAGACCTTGGCTCAAGAGGAACCCCTGAAAATGGAGAATGGGACACCTATGTCAATTGCAGCACTGCTGAGAGCAGTAGAGATGAGAGTGAGTTAAGTAATATCAACAGATGGAAGGATAAATCAATTATGGTGTATATAATACCATGCAATAACAAAGAATAAGGGAGATTTTGAGAAACACCAAATAAATAGATTCATCTGGAGCATATTATGCTGAATGAAATAAGATAGGCACTGAAGGACCAAATATTGTGAGTCCACTATTAAAAAAAGAAAGGGTGCTGCCTTTGTTTAATAGTCCTGCTCCCTATGGATTACACTACAAGTCCCTTAAGGAATAAAAGACATAGGGATTTTAAGACACTTGGGATTTATTTTGGACTCCAGTGCTTAGACTCCATTAGGAATAAGAAAGTCCTCTTTAAAAAGGCACAAAGCTGCTATATTAGTTCCAGAAAAAACAGAAAAAAGTTAGGTCACACCTCCTGAACATTGTTAAATCCTCCCTAAATGACCCAGGTAGTCCCAGAATGTACTGTGAGAACATTAAAAGTATCTTTTGTTAGTGGCAATCCAAGAGGTGCACAGTTCGAATCCACCAGATGCTCTGCTGGAGAAGGAGGAACAATCTCCTTCTGTACCAGTCAGATCTGATTTGACGGTACATACACACACACACACACAAATTTAAAAAAAATAAATAAAATTTTTTTAAAAAAGTATCTTTTGTGTATCCAACTATATAAACAGTATCACAATAGTGTCTTTCAAAGGAAATGCACAGGAATGAAATTTTCAAGAAAAATATCCCAATAGTCCTCCTCCAGCTAGACTACTTGTTTGACCCTTATGCTTATGTTTCTCTTCTTTGTGAAGCACATTAAAATAAGAAATATGCAAAGAAAATCTACACAGCTTTAATCCCATAGCTGGACTTACGTTGCAGAATATTTCGTTGTTCTAGTTCTTCTGGTGTTGGTCTTTGACTTAGCCGACTAAAGAGGAGATAAATATAAGTTACTGTCTGTGTTAAACCTCGCAATATTATTTAAAAATATTTTTTTCCTTAGTTTTTATTTATCTCTCTAATGTTAGTAAGAAATTAATAAATTTTCAAACTTGTTTGATATTTCATTTCTTTACCTGTTTCAAATATTATGAAAAAATATCCACACTGAAAATGTTAACACAATTATCGAGATAAAAAGAATTGTACAGACAAACATAATGTTGGGATTCTAGTTCTAGCTCTAACATCAAATAGTCCTGCCACTCATTCTTCCCCCACAAATATATACTTCTGCATACCCTCCTCAAGATTCTCATCAGTAAAATGGAAGGGTTTATACTGGATTTGTGAGTCCAGTTTTCCCTAGGCACGCTAGTAGGAATTCTGATTCAGGAAATCAGAATGTAGACTGAGATATTTTATATAATAATAGTGTTTGTTCTCTAAAGAAAAGACATTCTGATGAAGTCTAACTCCCCCCACCCCCCTTTTAATCCATCTCTAGCAACTTGACAGCACCTAAAAATATCAACACATTTTTTGAGTTCTCCATCATGCTCCAGAGACTAAACTGACTACCTTTAAGCCAACCCTGTATACTATACATACAGGTTAGAACAAATCCTTAAGTGTTAGACTGATTATACTGTGCTTTGTCCATGGTTTTCTCCCTATGGCTTTTCCCACCATAGTTTAGACAATTCTGTAGTCTGAATTGTCACAAAAATTTCACAGTTTGACCTTTTTTTTCTCCCCAAACAAAAAATACATAATAAGAACATATACTAACTACTAGATCTTCTGTGTAAAGGACTAGACCCCTAGTCTTCTCTCAGGTGACCTCAGGCACCATGTCCACATGTATGATAACCAGACTGATTTCCATTGCAGTGTCCTTTGAGGTATGACCATTGTCACAGCAAGGGGAAGTTTCCATGTCTCTTCCTTCTAGTATTTCTTTTTAACAACAGAGAGACTATAGAATTCATAAAGATTGACTATTCTGTTTAAGTAAAAAAGTTATCTTTCATTCTAAGCCTACAAGTTAGTAAGTTATATATCTTATTTTACCTAACACTAGCTAAAACACTGAGGATTTTTCCTTCATGGAAAGAACTGGACATCATTTTAGGTGTCATCATCTCTTTTTCTCTCACACACATACTCATATCCCTTTTATCTGTTCCAAGACATGTCAGTATCTACTTCCCCTGCCTTGAAATAAAATTTATGCATATAAAATGAACTTGTAAAATAAATTTTCTTCAGTTCAGAAAGACCTTTCTCCAGTTGGCTGTAACCAGTAACCTATCCACTTTCTATCTTTATACAGAAAGATCTCAGGGAGCTCTGGTGGCCTACTGGCAAGAAGCTGCACTGCAATCTGAGGTGCACGGTTCAAATCCACCAGATGTTCTGCTGGAGAAGGAGGTGCAATCTCCTCCTGTACAATTCAGATCCAATTTGACGGGACACAAAAACAAAATAATAATAATAATAATAATAATTTTAAAAGTTAAAAAAGTTATACAGAAATATTTCCACATTAAAAAGAAAGATCCAGAAGAAAAAAATGACTAAATTTGTTCCTAGACACAACGTGTACAACAAAGCCAGGGGGCAATACAACTCAATTCTCCGCCTCTGAGTTGGAGCCAACTCATAGATGACTTCACCTCCAGCAAGTTATACGAGACTGTAAATTGCACTGCAGGAGACTGTCCATCAGCTTCTCCTGAGGGGCAGATGGTGGATTTGAACCACAAGTTTTGGGTTTAGTAGCATAACTTCTTACCCACTAGGCCACCCCTTGTGTTTGAGATAAAGAAGAAAGTATTTTAATTCATGAATTTCCTGAGTTGATTATTTTGTAAGGAAATGCCAAGGTTTTTACCTTTTTCTTTTGTTCAAGAGAAATATGTAAGTGGGGCAAAAATCTAAAGACTTGGATTTTATGGGAAGTTGACCTGCACTCAGTCTTCATCATGCTTTTCGCTCCAGATGATATGAGAAAATATTATCACTGAAAAGTATGGTAACATATACTAATACAAAGGAGGTAGTTACACAGAATGAGTACGAAAGACAGAATAAAAATACAGATGTGATCTATTACTGGATCAGTACTTGGTGGCTGAAGATATGGATTTAAAAAAATGTGAGAAACTGCTCCTGTCCTAGGATAAACTCTGACATTTCTAGATACTTTTACACTACCTATGGCCATTTTAAAGTTTAAAGCTTGGAGTGCCCTCTAGTTCCTTAGTCTCTAAATTCTTAGAAGATACCCAATCATGTCCAATATGTACTTAAAAAACGTACATACTTTTTGTATGATTATTTTGAGGTCTCCATTCTGCTCCGAAGACCAAACTACTATCTTTAAGCCAACCCTGTACACTATACATACAGGTTAGAACAAATCCTTAAGTGTTAAGACTGCTGACTGTGCTTTGTCCATGGTTTTCTACCTATGGCTTTTCCCCACCATAGTTTTTAATAAGAGAATGGAGATCTCAGGAGGAAGCGGATGGAAAATGAATGCTACATAAAATAAGTCTCTAACACATATTGGCATAATCAATCAATCAATCAATCAATCAATCAATCAATCTCCTTTCAACACAGGCCTACCGGATCAGTGTCTTCCCAATTTGGTGCCTTATTTCATTCCACTCCTCTTTGCTTTTTCGGGGCCATGAATTCAGGTTCAATTCAAGCTCACTGTTTTTGTGGTTCAATTTCATGGCTAAAGTGTCTTTCCTCTTCACTTTGTTGGCCAGAGCACCTTTGGATAAGGAGAAAAAAAATGCCTAACAAACCAATAATGTAAAACCTTGAGACTTGAAGCCAAAGCTTCAACCTCACCTGGAGCCTCGTAAGGACTCTGAACAAACACAGCATAATATAACATTCCACTATGTACTTGACTTCAAATGATCTATTCAAACACAGATGAAAGATGAAGAGATCTAAAGATTCTTTGAGCTAGATGTTCCTATGGTTAAATGTGACCTTTTATCTTTTCTCTACAATTTTCCCCTTGGAGCTGTTAGAGCAGAAATCATCTAAACATGAAATAGGATTCTTAATTATTCTATGTTTAGGGTTCCCCCACCCCCGCAACACACCTAAGAATACACCTGGTCTTAAATTTGCTTTCCTGTTTAGGAATTAGAAATCCAAAACTCACAAAGATTTGTGTGCAAAATCATGGTTTTGGGTTTTTTTTGTGTGTGTACAGGCCCATGAACATAGTCCATGTGCCAGTATTTCTCTACTAAATATTCTTAATATCATTAAGACAAACAGCTTTTTTTTTTTATCTGAACAAGCCACTTAGGTCTCACTCCTTGGCTAATCTTAGTGTATTAACAACAGGAGCAAGAAGTCCATTACAGTGGCTCTAAAACCAGCCAGCCAGATGGCAAGGGTGCCCATTTCTATTCATCTTACACTTGCTAAGACAGCAAGTAGCTAGCTTTACCAGAAAAAGCACTTTCTCTTTTGATTTTCCCTCCCTTTCTTACTGTGTTGGCTTTCATCTTCATCCTCTTCGTCTCGGTACCTAATGGGACCCTCTGAATCGGAGTCACTTTCCTTCTCTTCCTCCTCCTCCTGCAGACACTGTGATAGCTTAGGAATGACTGAGGTAGGTGCCATGTTTTCACTGAAAGCCAATGGGTGGGTTTGCTCCTCCTCCTCTTCATCATCTGGACTGAACAATTACAATAATTACATAATTAATTACATAAAGTGATTTCCTAAGCAAATGGCTTAAGAGCTATAAGAAAGTTCCTGAATAAAAGAATTAATAATTCCTCTTTTATGCTCACAAAACTTACAAGGTAAAGTAATGGTCTCAATTACAGATCATACAACTATAGAACAGGGAGGTCATGGAGGTTAGAATACTAGAAGCTATTAAATATGCCATAAAGCTGGGATGTGAAGCCAAGGATATATTATTACTTCAAGGCTAATGTTCTAAGCATCATACTGCCTCCCTTGTATCATATAAATTGAACAGTTTTATTTTTCCTAAGTTTGTAATTTTTAAGTAATCTTGGAACTATGTCCTGGGAAAACATATAAATTAAAAAATTCAAATCCTAGAACTTGCCAGAGGATATTCTTTTTACTTTAAATTTATTGGCATTTTATTTTTTAAGTCCTATTTTCTAAGTAAGGGTACCAAGAGGAAAGAAGCAGCAGCAAGAGACAAGTTTTAAAGGTACTCACACTTTCAGCATTTCAATAGTGATGGGAAGTGACCTGGTCCGACCCAGAGTACTGGTGTCCTCAGAAAAGTCACTGTTCTCGAAGAGCAACGAATGAGCTCTATGACAGCCCTCCAGGGGAGGAGTAACAGGCAATGGGCTGGTCAGAGCCTGCTGGATTCGAATATGCAGTGGGAGTGGGGGCAGTCTAGAGGGTATGTGGGGTTCCCTAAAATTATGTTCCAACATCCTTTTGGGTATATCGTTTCTCTGATCTTCCTGCTGAGGAACCTCCTGGGGTAGTTCTGTGGAAGGAGGAAAATCCACTTCTGGCACAATTTGAAAAGTCTTTGAGGGAACTGGAGGGGAGTGTGGGGGCTCTGGAGGCACATGAGTAGGCAGTGGGGGTGATGGAGAACGAGGTGGGATCAGCAGCAGCGGTACAGAGACTGCAGGGCATGCATTCTTCTCTCTCCGATCACTTGGTGCTTTTGTGACAGCAGTGGCAGCAGACTCTGAGGCAGATACCAAGGCTGATGGAATGCCTCTCTTAGGTGGTAAGGGTGGGGATGGTTTTGATAATGTACCACTGTTTATTGCTTGGGATAGTTCAGCTAGAAAAGAAAGAGTATTATCTCAGTTTAAGATGACTTTTCAATTAAGTGCTTAGCTCAGAATAAAGGCAAATATCAATGTCATGGTTTTGCCATTCCCTAGATATCTTATACTAAAAAAAATTATTTGGCTTGATCTTACATAGAAAAAGTTATTATGAGTAGAGAGAGAAAAAGGGAAGGCTCTTTTTATAATATTATTCTATAAAAATTTAAATCTGTAGAATGCAATTAACAAAACAAACCTTACTGGGCATTATTATATTCCTGCAAATAATGGTATCTAGATTGCTCAGCTTTGGATTGTGAAATTGCAATAAACTTAATAATATTGTTCGGTCTTCTGGATCCCACTGCTTGCCCACTATACTATGGGCTCCTTGATTACAGGGCTATCCTTGTCTCCATCAGGACAGAACTCAGCATAGGTCTGGCATCTAGTATAATGTTTATTAGTTTGGAGGCTCTTGACTGATATTATGAAAGTTACGTTTTCTCAAACCCACACTGACTCAGAAAAGTCTCTTTGGAGCACCCGAAAAGTTGTAGACCAAGACATGATATAGGGATCAACCGTACAGAATAACAGTGCTCTTGACAGCGAGTTGCTAACCCTCCATATAAACTCCTTGTTTCTGACTATTCAGTAGGCTCCTAAACTGTCTCAATGTATTTTTCCTGGACAAAAGAACTTTCCAAAAGAAGTTTCCATGAAATAAAAATTTACTTGTCTGTATGTTATTTCCTTGGAGGCATTAAAATTGAAAGGCTAACTAATGTCCTAATTTTTTTTTATATTTACATTATTAATTTTAATGAACATTTACAGAGATTCTGATTTCCATTCATTCAGTGTTGCATTTTTCTCCCTGCCCACCCCTTCCCCTGCAATGTCCTAATATCTTAATGTCAGTCATTACAAGTCAATTTTAAAAAGGACTTTATAGGAAAATATTGCAACACACAAAAAATCCTAACTTTATGATCAATGGAAGAGGTATTATTTGTAGATTACACTTTTGCTACCTCTAAAAATAAGTTGACTGACAATTTATAACAGAATCTATCCCTAGAAATACAAGTTTGAATATTTTAATGTTTGTTTCTATTGATAAAAAGTATACATCTTAAGCTGCTAAAGACATAAACTTTGGAACACATACTGTACTCATAACCTTTGACAATAATTCTGTGGGGTGGGGGTGGAGAGAAAGCCAGAATGTTCCTGATGGGGTTTCAAATTATCTTTATTTACTCAGTTATTTTTTGTGGCCTTTTCTCAGTCTTGATACCCTATGCTATGCTTGTAGAAGTTAGCAGAACTGTCTAAAGCATGGTTTCTACCTTTTTGAACTGGATGAACTGACAAAACTTAAAAAAAAATATCAACCACAACCCAAGTGCCCATCAAAACCTGAATGGATAGAGAAGCTGTGGTATATTTACACAATGGAATACTATGCTGTACTGAAAAACAAGGAACTCATAAAATATTATACAAAATGGGTGATCCTGGAGGATATTACGCTGAATGAAACAAGTCACAAAGGGATAAACACTGCATAATGCCACTGTTATAAAACAGGACTGACATTGGGGTTAGGAGGAATCTAAGAAAAGAGGGTTTAAATAATGTATACTGCACTGAAACAGATGAGGAAGAGAACTGTTTGAAAGGAATATATGACTAGGTTTTATTTTCATGACAAGAGTCCAGAATGAGAGCTTCATGGGGGAGTGGACTTGAGGGAGGGATTGTATAATCATGGAAGGTTTTATCGTTTGGGGTTTTCTTTAACTTTTCAAAGAGAAAAACCAACTGGGGGAGGCATGGGCAGGGAGGAAAATGTGCAACAATGAATGAATGTAAATTCAAAGTCTCTAGAAACTTTCATTAAAATTTCAATTAAAAAATACTCAACCAGCCTTAGGATGTCTATTTTTAATATTTCTAAGTAAGGCTTACCAAGAAATAAACCACCTATGATCATCATCCATTCATGAAAGGTATAGCATTTTAACACTAAAGTCTTAATTTTAGAATAAAGCATAGTTTTTAGATCTAATCTAACTAAAATCTAACTCTGTGAACTGTCTGTCCTATTTCTTCCTTCTATTGAAGACCAGTCATGGACTGATACTGATTTCTTCAGTTAGTGATTAGTGTTATTCACAACTAAACCCAAACCAATCCATTGCCACCTTCCAATGATTTCAGACTGTAAAATTTTACTACCTTATTTCTCTCCTGAGAAGTAACTAGTGGATTTAAACTGTCAACCATATGATTAGCAGTCTAATGAAGAATGTATTGTTAATATATTACCATTTATACATCTGTGTGCCTTACCTTGAAAAAGGTGGGGAATTACTGGCCTAGAAAAGTGATTTTAAATGTGAGTCCCAAATTAACCATGTCAGCATCATCTGGGATTTACTAGAAATATAAATTCTCAGGCTACAAATTACAGACTCCTGCAAGAACAATGATGTCAATCTAGAGACTAAGGTGCACCTGGTTCAGACCATGGTCTTCGCAATTACTTGTTATGCATAAGAGAACTGGACAATGACTAGAGATGACAGAAGAAGACTTGATGCCTTTGAGTTGTGCTGGAGAAGTATTAAATATTCCATGGACTACTAAGAAAACAAACAGGTTGGTCCTGGAGAGAGTGAAACCAGGAAGCTCCTTGGAGGCAAGGTTCTGACATACTCTGGGCATGTTGCAAGGAGGAACCAGTCCCTGGAGAGGGACGTCATGCTTGGAAGGGTGGAGGGACATCACAAGAGATGGATTGACTCAGTGACTGGGGTAATGGGGGTTAGGTGTGTCAGAACAAAGAAACTGGCTCAAGGTAGAGCAGGGTTCAGAGCTGTTGTATACAGGGTTGCTATGAGTTGGAGTTGACTCAACAGCACATAAAAACAATAGACTTAACGTGGGATGGTGGTTAAATGCTTGACGGCTAACCCAAAGGTCTACAATCTGAACCCACCAGTCACCCAGCAGGAGAAAGATGTGGCATCTTGCTTCTGTAGATTTATAGCCTGGGAACGTTTGGGGCAATTCCACTCGGTCCACAGAGTCACTGTGAATTGGAATCCACTCCAGGGCAAAATGTTTTCTTTCTGTTCTGGACCTCAGATTTTATAGACTCAGAAACTATAGTGGTGGGGCGTGGTAATCCATGTTTTAAGATGCCCTTCAAGTGATTCTTATGGAAACATCAGCTTAGAAATGGAGGTATAGACTCAACAGCAGAGTTGGAAAGCTGTGTTCAGTTTCTATCTCTTACTAAATGCAACTCTGAGTCACAATTTTCATGTCCTAATTGTACTGTCTATATAACAGATAAAATCAGTTTCCTAATTCATCAGGTGGTTTTGAAAATAAGTATGTGAAATCTCAAGTTCCTCAGAGATAAGTCAGTATGGTACTATCCATCCAGCATAGTGATGATGATGATGACAATGATAAAGATAATAATAACAATCTCCTTCCTGTTTTCAATCAAGATACTCTTTCTTGTCACACTCACAGTGAATTCTAAGCCTGTTTTTCAAGGTCCTACTTACTCCACCCAATTTGGCGGTATTGGACATTTAAGAAGTCCTTCCCCTTTTTCAAGTCCTCCAGTCATTAAGAACTTTAAGCAGCACTAGTATCATTTTCTATAAAGCTACATTATACATTGGCTTCTTTCATTAGCCCTGAAGTATTTAGTCTGCCTTCCTTTTTTTCCTAAAATTCCTCTCAGAAAGTACACATGTATCTACAGCACATAGATCTAAATTGATACTGCAGGTAAGTATAAAAACTCTCTAAACCAGAGCTCTGGTGGTGTAGTGGCAAGAAGCTGCACTGCAATACCAGAGGCGTGCAGTTCAAATCCATCAGATACTCTGCTGGAGAAGGAGGGGCAATCTCCTCCTGTACCAGTCAGAGTAAATTTAATGGTACACACAAACAAAAATAATAAAAACAAAACAAAACAAAACAAAAACAACTACTCACTAAACCATAAAAAAATTACTCATTTCCCCCCTTACTTTCTCTTTCACCATTTACTTTTTGAAAGTAACATCTTTAACTCTCCCATGACAAAAAAATTTAAAAAAAAAAAAATAACTCTCCCATGACAAAATATGATTTTATCAGGGCAAATTACATCATACTGTCAGCAGTTCACAACAAAGGTACTATGCCAGAAAAAGTATCAAAAGTTACACTTATTTATGCTGAAGGAAGGCACTGGTGGCTTATGTTGTTGTTGTTATGTGCCGTTGAGTCGTTTACATGTACAACAGTCCTAAACCCTGCTCTATCCTATGCCAAACGCACTGCCTCTGGCACACCCATCGTGATTACCCCAGTCACTGAATCAATCCATCTCATAGAGGGAGGGTCTTTGCCTCTTGCGCCGTCCCTCTACCCTCCCAAGCATGATGTCCCTCTCTAAGGACCTGTCCCTCCTTGCAACAAACCCAAAGTATGTCAGACAAAGCCCCAGAATCCTTGTCTCCAAGGAGTAGCTTGGTTTAACCCTCGCCAGGATGAATCTGTTTGTTTTCTTGGCAGCCAGGGTACATTCAATACTCTTCTCCAGCACCACAGCTCAAAGGCATCAATTCTCCTTCTGTCCTCCCTAGTCACTGTCCAACTCTCTGATGCATAACAAGTGATTGCAAAGGCCATGGCCTGTATCAGATGCACCTTAATCTCCAGAGAGACACCGTTGCTCTTGAGTACTTTAGAGAGGTCCCTAACAGCAGACTTTCCCATCGCAATATGTTTTTTGATTTCCTGGCTGCTGGTGCCAAGAGTGTTGACCATGGAGCTGAGCAAACTGAAGCTGTGAACAATCTCAATCTCTTCGCCTTCCATCCTGATGCTACCAATTGGTCCAGTGGTGAGAATCTTTGTCTTCTTGACATTGAGCTTCAGTCCATACTGAATGATGCATAAGGTGGCTTACAGTCAGTTTAAAAAAAGCCCTTTTTATTTGAAGAGCTTGCTTTGCTGCTTTTAAATTTTTTCAGCAGGTATCACAGATTAATTTCTGTCAGGCTAAACATACTGTGATTTTCACCTATCGAAGTTCCAATTACATATAGTGTTAAAGGAACACTGTTACTGAAAGTAATCCCCTAAAACTTGGATTGAGGTATCATCTCAGCCTGTTTCCATTCAGAGCTATCTGTCTCATTTTTAAAACCTTTCCCTATACCGAACATATTTAAAAGGATGAGATATGGAGAGCTCTTTCACAGACAAAAGTCAATGCTATACTAGTTATCTAATAATTAACCATCCAAAATATAACACAAAATAACACAACAGAATCTTTGAGGACTTACCAATGACAGGGCTGCTATTTCTGTGAGTTGGTTTAGGGGGAGGCACAGGGGGCTGCTTGGCAGGGACTGTATGTGCAATGCTTGGGGTGGCAGTAGTGTTAACGCTGCCAGGAGCAGCAGGCAGAGTTCTGGGTGCTGGGAATGGGGTGAGAGAGGCATTAACAGTTTTTGGTAAGTGTGTGGCCGCAGGCACTGTGGTGGTAGAAGCAGAAGTGGAAGAGACCGATCTTGTTGAGTTGCCAGAAGAAGCATCCTTTGTATGCACTTCATTTGCTTCATAAGAAGAGGATAAGAGTCGTCGTTTAGGGGGAAGTAAAGGTGGTTTGGGCACATTTTCAGGAAAAGAGTCTATTTCCGAATTAGGCTGGCTTCCAGTTGAGCCTGTAATAATAAGAGATGTGATTTAAAAGCAAAGAAAGGAAAAAAACCAGAGACTGACAGAACGAGATAATCTACATTGTTAGCACCACCCACCAATTACTCAATTTACAGGTTAGTTTTCAAACAACATTTGTCAATGTCTTTCAATTTCAATGTACTTTTTGGAATTTGATGCTTTTCCAATGAGTAAATAGTTCACCTCAGCAGTATTTCACACACACACAAACCTATGGAATAAGTACATCAGAATTTCTTAAACGGAGGAAGAGGTATGTGTAGCTTGAAAAAAGAATCCTACAGGTAGCTGTTATTTAATAACCTCTTCCTTCCTTCCTTGAAAATCACAAATTTAGGTTTTTAGTGAAGGAGATAATCAAGGACCATAAAATTCCACTCAAAGTTGCAATTAGTTGGGGAACTACCAGTAAAAAACAATTCTCTTTAATTTCATTTGTCCCTACTTTTGCAAACGCCTCATGTAAATGCAATTGTACTATGGCTCTTTAACCTAGAATTCAGTTTCTTACCTAGCCGCTTCTTTGGATCGTCTTCTGAAGCAGTTTTCCTAAGACTTGTTGCTTTTCCGGGCTCTTCCTCTTCTTGGACTGGACTTACAGATCGGGTACTCCCAACGGGGATGGTATGGCCATTCTTTAACAAGGCCTGGCTCAACTTCTCTGGATCCTCACCACCTGCAAGACCCAAAAGAAAAAAGAATAAATGCAAGGAACTGGTTTGATCACAAAGGAAGAAAAAAACTAGTGATTTCTAACTTCCCTTTTCTTTCTTCCTGTTGTTAGGTTATTAGTCACATCTAAATTATTTGGATTCTTATAATAACTTTTCTTTCCAATAAAGATTTGGTGCTGTGTGTACCAGATGTCTTGCTACATGTTAAAAAGAGTTATGATAGGAATGGGAAGAGGGTGTTGTGATGGGAATTGAAAAAGCATCAATCTCCTGGGGAGTGAACTGAATCTTAAATGATGCAGGAATCCATCACAATGATGACACAAGGAGGAAAGGTGCCTTAGGAAAAAGGAATATTATATGAAAAGTGTAAAATTATTTGACTTATTTGGGGATTGTTAATTAGTTTATTGTGGAAGGACAATTGTTGTTATGTGCCATTGAGTCATTTGCGACTCATAGCGACCCTATGTACAACAGCCCTAAACCCTGCTCTATCCTGTGCCAATCGCATGGCCTCTGACACACCCATCCCGACTACCCCAGTAACTGAATCAATCCATCTCATAGAGGGTCTTCCCCTCCTGCGCTGTTCCTCCACTTTACCAAGCATGATGTCTCTCTCCAAGGACCTGTCTCTCCTTACAACATGTCCAAAGTATGTCAGATGAAGCCTCAGAATCCTT